AGAAAAGAATATATTCAAATTTTGTAAATAAACTAGTATAATAGTAATAAAGTTAAAAAAAAAAGATGGAGTGATAGTGGATGATGGTTATGCCACTGCAAATCAGGAGTCAGGAAAGACAGGTCTGAGAAACACACCAGGAGAGTAACAGCATTCCTTCAGCCATCAGACAGGCTCTGGGCCTGTCCAGCCAAGGTCAAATGGCAGAAGATCCAGGAGGCCAAGGCACGCCAAGTGGATGGCACTCTGGATAACAGGTAATCGTAGAAAGTTCTGATCTTGCAGGTCACAGAGGAAGGTGCTCAGAAGTAGTATCTTGTATGCACATGACAGACACACAGTAACTTGCTTGCTTTCTAATCACTGCCACTTTGGATTCAGGGTCTCGCAGTCAAACAGGAAAAATTCTGTAAACGAAGGGTAAAGCCTAACGTGTCTTTTTTTGTCCGCGGCAGCGCCTGGGTGGTAGAAGTGATTAGTGTGCTTGGTTGCTAAGTGAAAGACTGGGGTTTGGGTCCACTCAGAAGTGCTCCGGGATAGTGAACTTGCAATTTACTTAAACAAATCACTCAATGAAAACACTATGGAGCAGAGTTCTACTCTGAAACACATAAATTGCCATGAGTCAAAATCAACAGCAACTAACTCTTTGGGGGTGGTGGTTGTTGTGATGTGCCGCTGAGTTGCTTGTGACTTATAATGACCCTATGTATAATAGTCCTCAACTCTGCTCTAACCTGAGCCAAATTTACTGTCTCTGACACACTTATCCCCATTACTCCAGTCACTGAATCAGTCCATCTTATCCAGGGTCTTCCTCTCTTACACTGCCCCTCCATCCTCCCTCCCTTCCTCTCCAAAAACTGGTCACTCCTTGCAACATGCCCAAAATATGTCAGACGAAGCCTCAAAATCCTTGCCTCCAAGGAGCAACCTGGTTTCACTCTCTCTAATCCATTTCTCAATCAATCTGTTTTGTTCTCCTGGCGTTCTCATGGTATTACTCTTCCCCAGCACCACAGCTCAAACATCAGTTCTCCTCCTATCACCCTGAGGCATTGTCCAGCTTTAATTTTTTCCATTTTTATCATTCATAAATATAGTGTTTATGTTTACACACAAAAATATTTTACAGCATAATTAAAGTAGTATAAAAGATACAAATATCACACCTTATCTCTAGAACTGTAAAACACATTATATTTTATTATCTTCATTGGATCAGTCCCTTAAAAGCAAGAGACGTGTAAGAAGCTCTCCCATGACCAAGTCTAAAGTTCAGCTGAGATGCCACCAAAATAAAAAGCAGCAAGGAACTGAATCATCACAAAACTCTGTGTGGTTGGTAACTGTTGTTACCTTCATTCTGTCGATGAAGGCACCAAAGACAGGGACGCGGACTAACAGCTAAAAAAAGAGTGACACTGAGGAGCAAATCCTTTCAGCCTGGCTAGAGAGAGAGATGGTTTCTAACAACGCAACTGTTTTATCTGGTTTTACTGTTGATGCATTAAGTAGCCATGGTGACATAGTGGATTAGCCATTGGGAAGCTAACCAAAAGAGCGATGGTTAGAATCTGTCAGCACTCTTACAGACAAGAACAGGGTAGTCTGCTTCTATAAAGATTTACAGCCTTGGAAATCCTACATAGGTGTTGCTGTGTACCGCTGAGTTGGAACGGACCCATAGCTGACCCTCCAGCAGGTTTTCAGCAGCAGTTTAACCACATGGGAGAAGATCACCCATCCTTCTCCCGCAGAGCAGCTCATCGAATGATGTGCCTTTGGGACTACAGCGCAGTTTCTCACCACTAGACCACCAGAGGTCCCTCAAAAATCCTATGAAGTTCTAATCTGTCCTGTAAGGTCACCATGGGTCTAAAGGACTCAAAAGGATTTGGGTTTCGGTTTGGTTTTGTGGTATTGGTTTTTTAGTTTTGATGTAGGTTGGTTTGTTTCTGGTTGTTTTGTTTTGCATTTTGGGGGTTTTGTGTGTGTTTTCTTTTTTTAATTCAAGTAATTATTCAAGTTCTTGATCACCTTTATTTAAAAGGTTGTCCTTTTATTATTATTGGTTTGCTTCCAAAGCTCGGTATACATAGCATTTCATACTTTTCTTCATTCATACCATGTAAAAGGTTGTCCTTAAATGGACTCCAACTCACAGCCATGTGCTTGACAGGTTTGTTTTTTTTTCATGGCTAGTTTTTCAAAGCAGTTCACCAGACCTCTCTTCAGTGGAATCTCTGGTACAAGCAAACCTCCAACCTCTCAGTCAGCTGCCAAAGATATTCAACTATTTGCACCACCCCTTGATAACTTAAAAAGACTCATTAAGAAATAAAAACGAAAGATCCAATTCAACAGAAAACATTTCCAAAATAAATAACTGTCTGAGTAATTCATGTTGGCAAACAGGTTAATATTCTTTTCTGTTTGTTTAATGTTCTATCTTCTAATGCTCTTATTTCAACTATCACTAGTAAACCTTAAATTTCCAGTCCATCTGTAATTAAACAGACAATTCTCAAATTTAAACAACATCCTTAAATGCATTCTTTTCAAGAGACCCTATGTAACACATAGGAAGGAACATTTCTGAAGAAATTCCAAAACATTCTGAAGAGAATTCCTTAAAGACAACTTTCCTGAGAAGGCCCTGCATCTTATGTTAAATATTCTCTCACCTCCACCCAGATATATGCAGGTTAGTCTTTAAAAAGTACAATATAGTATAATAAAGTGCTTAGAAAATTATTTTAAATGCCAGTTTCACTTTCACTATAGCTTTCATTAAAGCAACTTAGCTATAAAGTCTCTATAGTAAGTATTCCAGAAAGACCATCTTCTAAATGTTAACATTTTTTACCATAACCAACTGTTACATAAGCAAGACAGAACCAGAAATAAAAATTTTTATAAGAGCGAGCCTTGAGCCTCTAAATAAACTCCTTAAATCCTATCACAGGCTTTGACATTTTCCACCTCTAAGCACAGTGACTAAATCATCAACTGCTGTCAATAAGGAGAGTCTATAATTTACTTTCCTTTTAGCCTGAGTTGGTTTCCAACACAACTGAGTGAAAATGCAAATAGGTAAAGCCATGCGCCAGTGGTTTGTAACTGGGGCCGTTTATCCCCCCAGGGACATTTGACAACTTCTGGAAACCGTTTTGGTCATCATACTGAAGGGGTGGTAGGAGATGACTGCCCCTGGTGTCCACTGGACAGAGACCATCGACTCTGCAAAGCACCCTGTAAAGCACTGGACTGCTTCCAAAACAGAACTCTCTGCCCCAAAATGTCACTAGTATCAATCTTGAACAACCCTGAAATAAAAAACCATAACTTTCTTTTTTACACAAACACACCAAACATTAAGAGTGTATCCCTCAAAAGGGTCAGAAATTATTTTTTTCTTTTTTGTATTTTTCTTTATTTCTTTCTAAATCTCTGTCAACACACAATACTACATGTAATCAGTGGTGGGAAATCCACAAGGAAAGAAACCCTTGAGAGTGGGATAGACTTTTGCTCCCCATCCTGATAGGGCCTATTCTCAAAGCACTGTTCTTATTCAGCCTGCTGGCCTTCAAGGAAGGCCCAGGAAATTTTCTTCTAAAATCACCTCTCTGCCTTGAAGCTGTTATTCATTAGCCCTGGTTAAAGAGAATATTCCAAATATCTCAAAACCAGCCATTCTCAATGCTTCATAGTGGAGGGAGAAAACTGAAATGTAAAATTGCCCAGGCTCTCTGTGAAGTTAGAGCTAGACAACCAGCTTTTCTAAACAGCCACAGGAGACAATATGGAATTAAACCCAGGCACCAAAGTGAGAAGTAATGAACATTAAAAATCACTGCCCACAAGCTGAGTATTTCCTTATTAGTGCAAAAAAAAAGCACACTTTGGGTCACAGATGAACGACATTTAACAATATTATATCCAAATGTGTATATTTGCATTTAATGAGAATGTACCATGAAAGTTAAACATGAAAGCTTTTGCAGCAATGCATCTGCTGTACCAGCAAATCTTGCTTATGACTGATTCCCAATCAAATATTAATTCTTTTTCCACATGCAATCATCATATCATCATATAGAAAGGGGAAAAAAAGAGAAAAAACCTGAAATTCAAGTTCTCTGGAGGGTGTATTCTAACACAAATTAAAGGGGGAAGGGAGAGGAGATCCAACACGACAATTCTTTAAAGTCACATCTTCATCTCAAAGTTACTTAACGCTAATAGCAAGTACCTCTCTCTAACGTTTATGAAATCAATCTTCCTGTTGTCCTCAACCTTCCACGCTGCAGCCATCCACACAGCACCAGCTCATTAGAGAGCAGTATACAGTATCCCTCGCCTATCCAGGACCACGCGCCAAGTAACCCGCCCTTCCCCTCTCTGCACGGCAGCCGCTGGCCGCGGCCCTGCTGAGGTGGCCTGGGCTCCCACCCCTGAACTTGGGGCCGGCGTGACTCACGCCTTGTCACATGGCTCGGGAGGAGGCCAGGAAGGCCACCGTTGCCAGGTGTTTGGGCTCGGCCTGACCGTTTATTTGCCTTGCAAAGTGGCCTGAGAGTCGGTCCCACAGGGGGCCGGTGGCCTCCAGCCCTCCTCCCTCGCACACCCAAACCCGCCCTTGTCATCTGGTTGTCCTCACCTGAGTGGGTAGCAGGAGTTCCCCTTCTTCTGCTTGCCACAGCTCCACCACATTCGGTAAGGGCTCAATCGCTGCAAGAACACCAAGAGACACTGCATATTGCACAGGAAAGAAATGCTTCCTGTCCCACTCTCGTCCCCCATTCCACCCGCCTCAACAAAACAAGTCTCATTTTTCTTCTCAACACTAAGGCCACCCGAAGAGCGAGAGGAGGATCAAAACACAATAGGCTGGGTGTAAATCGGCGGCCCCACTGACACTGAGGCGAGAACGCGCGTGTCTCCGCGCAGCGCCGGTGCTCGGGTCTGGGCTGATCCTACCGCAGACAGCGTGTGGCCACCCCCCGGGGCACGCATGGCTTCGCAAACCCGCAGCATCGGGGGCGGGTGTGTATGGATCGGGCTCCCGGGCGTCCAGGGAGTCCAGGCTCGGAGAACAAAGCTGCAGGAAGCCCGGAGAGCGCGGCGCTCGGGCCGCGGCAGGGAACCAGAGCGCGCCACACAAAGCGGGGGCTGCGCCCGGGGCGCCCGGGGCCCGCGCACAAAGACTCCGGGGCGCGCGCGGCTAGCGGTCTGCGCGGCTCTCCCCCAGCCCTGAGAGTTCCCTATGCTGTACTCTGTAGGGGCGAGGAGGTGCAGGGAGGTGATGCGGAAAGGAAAGGTTAGCACCCAAGAATTGCAACAGCTTCCCTCCCTCCGGTTGCCCCTATCCCTTTCCTCCCCTCGCCTTATAGATTTCAGCAGTTCCCTAAAAGAAAGAACGGGTGGGGGGGGGGCGGGGTGGAGAGGGAACTCTAGCAAAACGGCGCAAGGCTGACCTTGTCCCTGAGCCCCTCCCGGGCGACAGCAGGGCAGAAGAACCTGGAAGACGCCCAAAAGGAGATTCACGGCCGCGGCGGTGCGGCAGTAGCAGCCGGGCTGCGGGCGTCGGAGCCCCGCCATGCTGGTGCTCGCGCTCCTCTCGGGTGCTCGCAGCGCTCGCCGTTCGCTCGCTGGCGCCCGGGCTTCCTCGCCCCGGGCCC